ATGCCTGTCAGCTTACCCACTGGTGGGAGTTAAATTGGAGTGTCTCATTAATTAGCACTGTTAGTTTATTGCTAGCCTGGCAGGAATCTTAATAGGCATTTGCCACAAAGCAGCCTTATTCCGTAGGCCTAATGTTTAAGCCTGTTGCTTTTAAGGCTTTTTCCTTGAGAGCCACAATGAGAGAGAAATGCTGTTTCTCTATACAGTGTATACTCTCATTTATATGTGCCTATGTATATATCCAGACTTAAAGGTAGAGTTTCTTAGCTGAGCCTGGTGGTGCAAGGCTGTAATCCTAGCACTCTGGGAGGCTGAGGCAGGAGGATTCCAAGTTTGAGCCCAGCCTGGGCAATTTAGTGACTTAGCAAGACCTTGTCTCAAAAATAAAAGGAAGAGCTGGGGATGTAGCTTAGTGCTAAGGCCCTGGATACAATTCCCCCACTTCTGGGGAAAAAAATTAAAATTTCTTATATCAACACTTACCAACACTTATGAAAATCTCTGTGAGATGCATATGTTCTTTCTAAAAAATGCTTTTCTAAAAAAATGTTGTTCTTATCCACTGTATTGATTTTGTTACCCATGAGAGGGCCACAGCACACTGCTGAGAAACACTGATTTGTATGCTCCTGGATTCAGTTTCAGGCCTACAGCATCACACTGTGGCCCCACTCCACCTGCATGTCCTCTCTGGAGCAGCCCCCACCCCCTTTGTGCCGCAGAAAGTGAGGCACTGCTTAGAGGAGGTAGGTGGAAGTTTGAAGAAAAGTGAAGGGATCACACATTCATTTAGGAGCAAGATGAGAATTGACCCACCGAGTACAAAAGGATTTCCAGGTGGAAGTAAGGGGTGCTTTCCTGAGTATTCAGAGTAAGGATGAGGAGCTGCACATCAGGAGAAATGGAATTGACCCTTAGAACTCTTACCTTTAGCTTGGAGGAAAGAGCTTCCTGAAACCAAACCTGGTGACTTCAGTAGCTACTTGCTAAGGATTTTTTTTTTCCCTCTCCTCGGTCTTTCAGAAGTGTCCTACCTCTTCTTTGCTACTTTGGTTTTTATGGATGAGAGCACATTTTGTTTCTAGGATAAGTGGAAATTCACAAATAAGTACTTCGGGATCATCAGAAGCCTTAACATGGAAATCTCCTTTTCTGGGTTTCTTTGGGAAATGGAATGGCTGCCTTGGCCAGTGGAGTTCTTAATAAACTCAGGTGGCCACTTAAAATGTAAATTAATCAGTGTTTTGAATAAAGGTGAGAATTCAGTTCCTTAACCATATTAACTACACTTCAGTAGTCACTTGAGGCTAGTAGCCATCCTATAGAAGAGTGGAGATTGGACATTTTTGTTATCCTAGAGGAAGGAAGAGTCCTACTAATGTGGATTCCGGCAAAACAAATGGACAGTTAGCTCAGCTAGTTTGCTACTGATTGTCGTAGTTTGCTGGTTGATTTAGCTGTACACATTGAAAATGTGCTCTTTTCTGGCATTCCCAGTCATTCACAAAATTCAGTGGAAAGCCAGCCTCCCTGGGCCCACATTTCTTGTTTCTCTTGCCTATATCCACATCATAGTCAAGTGGCTTAGCTGACTTGATGACCAAGTGGATACCCTATCTGAAGACTAGGTGTTGGTTAAAAACCCTAAAGGTTTTGCTTAATTTCCACAGATACATCTTGTAAATGCAAGGTTAATGTACTCTTACGATTTCAGGAACAAGTAAAATGAGATTCTGCTCCTAGATCAGACATAAGCACTTTTGAAATGGTGCAAGGATGGGGGAAGAAGGGAAGTCCTGTTACATACTTAAGGCTGAAAACCAAGATCAATCCCTCCTTCCCCCAACTTAGATTTCTCTCCGTCTGCTACCCTTACTTCACTTGCCAGCCACTCTTCCTGCTCTCTATAAAGCCAATAGTTCTAGGAAGCCTCTATGAAGCCATTTCATGTTAGAGTTATTCTAGGTCTTTCTTGTACATAGGGATTCTTTGTCTCTCTCTACCCATCAAGTGTACAAATTAAGCAGTTTTTGTGAACACAAGGAAAGTTAAGGGAAGAAAGAACTAGAGTGTCTTTCCTCCCTGGGTTTTCTTTCTCACAGAGGAGGGAGAACATTTTGGGAGCTAGGAAGGAATTATTTCCAGAGTTGTGAGAGGTCCCCTATTTCTCTGCACCCTGGGAAGGGACCTGCTGTAAGCAGGGCAGTGAGGACTCCGACAGCTCAGGGTAGGCATGTACAGCTGAGCCTGATGTGGCCTGGTCAGAAATAGCACCATTGTCCCTCACAGGGATGTTTCTAAGCATAGAATATTGCTGACTGCAATTTGATGACTGCTACAGATATGAACGAGGCAAGTCAATTTTGATTGCCTTGCTTGGCAGAAATTTTGAGATGCTAATCCTATTTTAACTGTCAAACCCCAAGGTATCATTTATGTAGCCTCCATAATTTGCAAAATATGTTCTCAAGCATCATGTTATTTGACATTTAGGAGAAACCAGTGGGCTGGGACAAGACATTTGCAAGAGGAAAAGCAGGCACAGGGAGGTAAATGTCTTACCCAAGGTCACACAGTTTGTAGCTGGTGGAGCTAAGTTTTGTATCTGTCTAGTGAATGCTCTTCTGAGCACAGCACTTTACTTCTCACATTTTGGACTTGGAATAAAACACATTTGCACTGGATAATTGATGATACAAATTCAATAGTTGGTTCAATAGATATGTTTGTTGAGTGCCTATAATGCAGGAGGCTAAAGAGGAGGCTTCTGTAGTTGGGTGGCAAGTGTCCTGCCCTTGGGGAGCATTCTTTGAAACTGTATATTTTCAAGCAACAAATGCACATTAATCGAGAACAAACTGGGTGTGTTAAAGCTTGTGGGTACTGAAGAAATTACTGAGTCCTTTAGAGATGCCTTCCTGAAAGCAAGCAGTTTTGAATTAGATTCTGAAGGCTGTGCCTAAAGACTAAGGAAAGGGCATTTGGGCAGGTGTAGGCATGGTGGTAAGAAAAGAGTTGTAGAGATTCAACCTCTGTTTGTGAAATATTAACAAACCAGAAAAGAACATCTACTTATTATTAGTTGAAAATGTACTGTGCATAAGGCATTATATAGAGCTGGGTCTACAATGGCATGCAAAATAGACCCGGTTCCTGTTTTCAGATTGCTTAGTCTTTGGGGGGTAGGAACAATTGATTGTTGATAATACAGTGATTACACAAATATTTCAGATTGTGATGGTTATCATAAAGGAAAAGGCAGAATTCCTTAAGAGAGTATAGTACAGTGATGTACATTTGAGCTGTACATAGTACAGACTGACATTTGAGCTGCTTTGTGAAGCTACAGGAGTTACTAAGCAAATAGTTTTGATGTAGGGAGCAGGGAAAGGAATGCTTATGTGTGGGACAGGTGCAATGGCCTTAGAGGTACAGAAGAACTGAAAAGGCCTCTGTGCTGGAGTTGTGAAAGTGAAGGTTGGGTGGTGTCAGATAAGGCTGGGAGGGGACACTAGTATGATCAGATTTTGGTCTCTATTCAATTACATGATCAGATTTTCTTTTGAAAAAGATTACATTGGCTGCAACATGGAGAGTGTTTGGAAGGGGAATGATAGAGGTTTTGCAGTAACCCTGTAAGATGCTACTGCGTGGTCCAGGTTAGAATGATGTAGCTTGGTGCAAAGTGGTGGCAGAAGGGATGGAAGGACGTGGCTAGTTTCCATAGAGATTTAGGAGGTCAAATCTACAGAATGCAGTGACATGTTGGGTAATGGAAAAGCAGATGGCAGGTATAGTTCCTGAGCCCTAGATCCTTCAACAGGATGGATGGGGCACTGGCCTTTGAAATAGGGAACCTTGGAAAGGGACCCACTTTGGGGAAGAAGATAAAATCAACTTTGCCTATCAGGAGCTCAAGTTGAGAAGTGAGTGGGAATTAAATGTGTAGGTTACTGGTGCTTACCTGACAAGGGAAACTCTGGATGTACATGAATTTTCCCAGAAAGAAAAGAGCATTAAATGAGGAATGGAGGATTAAACAGTAAGAATGCGCAGTTACCATTTAGAAGAGAACAAGCCACTGGAGAGGTGGGAGGAAACCTGAAATGTGCTTGAGCATTATGTCATTGAGGTAGAGTAAAATTTTTTAAAAGGGTGATGGTGATATCTTTCAGTTTATTCCTAGACTAATTTCCTCATTACACCCTAAAATCTGTTATGCGGTGGCCATGCATCTCTAGGTCCAAGGCACCTGCACAGTGAACTGTTACAGAGTCCAGGTGGCTATTGTGTCTGTGTGTCCTGCATCCTCAGGTTCTGCATCTGTGGATTCAGCTAGCCTAGGATGGAAAATACAGTATTTGGGGCGGGAGGGGTGGAAGTGCATCTGTACTGAACACATACAGACTTTTTTCCTTGCCATTATTCCCTAAATGGTACAGTGTATGAATTAATTTACATAGCATTTATAGTGTATTGTGATATAAATAATTTAGAGATGATTTAGTGTACAAGAAGATGTGTGAAGGTTATATGCAAATACTATGCTTTTTATATAAAGGACTTGAGCATCTGTAGATTTAGGTTTCTGTGAGGGGTGCTGGAACTAATCCCTGCAAATACCAGAGGATGATGGACTATTTATTTATTCATTTATTCATGTGACAGATTGCCTGTGAGTGTGCGTGTGTCTCCTGCCTGAAACAATAATCTCCTTTCCTTTCTCCTACATCACTGCACTTTTGGCTGCCATTGACTGGGGTTTGTTGCAAATCTGAGCTCTTTTAATCCCACAGAGTACCAAAACAGTATCTGGCCTCTCTGCTCTGAAATTCGACTCCCAGCACCACAGCTTCCTATGCCAGCTGGGATCCTTGAATGAGCTCACTCACCCAGCTCACTAGAAGTCCCTGAGCTAGTGGAATACATTTGAAGATCTCACTTTTGGCATGCTATGTGTCAGGCCTCTTCCCACTTTCTTGCTGCCTTTCTCTTTTTAGGATGGCGGTGGCTCCTCCAAGTTACTGTTTTGTGGCCTTCCCGCCACGTGCTAAGGATGGTTTGGTGGTGTTTGGGAAAAATTCAGCCCGGCCCAGGGATGAAGTTCAGGAGGTTGTGTATTTCTCAGCTGCTGATCATGAACCAGAGAGCAAAGTTGAGGTAAGTTACACATTGCATTCTCTCCATTCGTCTGTGTATGTTCTCTTTCTTTGGCTTTGTCTCCAGCCACCAGACTTCCTTCTTGGAAGCCTGCTCACTTGTCAGATTGTCACATTGTTTCTGTTGATTCCCATTTCCATTCACATTTGCTCATAGCTTTCAGAACAAGGTGCATGGGGAATTCTGTGTTTGTTATGGTTTTATAATTTTACTAAAATATTTACATGCTTCCAAAGTCAAGTCTATAAAATAAGATATAGTTTAAAAAGACTAACTCCCCTTCTTGACTTCTTTATTCCATTTTCTTTTTCCTCTATAGATACATGTTTTGGAACTTTTTTTTTTTTGGTACCAGGGATCAAACTCAGGACCTCCTACTTGCCAGGCACGCACTGCGCCACTGAGCTACATCCCTGGCTGAAACTTTTTAAACGTATTTTTCCATTTAAAATTTTACTTATATATGTAATATATTACATATACATATGCTTTCCTCTTTGCTTAGATCGACAATAGCATGTTACATATACTTTTCTCCATTTTGCTTTTTTCAACGAAAATTCTGTCCTTGGTGATCAGGGCATATAGTACATCCAGATGTTCTTCGTTCCTCATTTAGAACTGCACAGTGTTCCATTCTGTGGATGTGCCATAATGCTACTGGACATTTGGATTATTTTCTAATCTTTAGCTATTATAAATAGTGCTGAAGGAAATTATAGCCTTGCATCTATCATAGTGTCTGGTATTATTTTTATGTATTTTTATCATGTTAAAATGATCCATTTGATTAATTTTTTATTCTGCTATTTTAATAAATTCTTTTATTGGTTATGTCAGCTTTTATCATTGATTCTCTTGGCATTGGTTTGCATGCATCTTTTTATATCACCTGCAAATGGAGATACAGTACTTTGATTCTTTTTACATCTCTAATTATTTTCTTGTCTGATTGGTTTGGCATATGTCTTAGATGCAATGTGAATGAGTAGGGAAATTGTGGATGTATTTATCTTTGTCCCTCATCTGAGTGGGGCTGTTTGTAAGGCTCCCTTATTAGATAAGATGCTGGCTTTGGGACTGATACTTGCTTTGTTTTATCATGTCAAAAACTCTACATGAATTTATATTTTGAGTGTTTTTAAAAAAGGAGAACTCAGGAATAGATACTAAATTTTGTTGAAGGTCTTTTCATTATAGAAATATTACCTATTTTTTCTGTTTATTTGGTAAACTGATCCATGTTTACATTCATGGAATAACTTTGTTGGTTATGGTATATTTGTGTGTATGTTTGTGTTGGTATTTATGTTTGTGTTTGAACAGTAGTTGTTTGTTCAAAGATGAAGAGAAGAATTTGGAGAAAAATTTGGGACTGGTGAATGAATAAGCTCTTTCCATTCCTCTACTCTTTGGTGTTCTATGTGGAGTTTTTCTGGTTGTCATATTTGGCTCTAAATGGATATTTATCCATACAATACTTTGTTTTCTTGTCTGCATCTTAAATTACTGATTTAGTTTCAGTCTTTTAAAAACACAAATCAACAATAAAGAGCAACAGAACTCTATGGAAGCTGCTTATGTTAGATGAATTTGACAAAGCACTGAAGTGAACAGAGAGGGTGTGGGCCATCTGTGGATGTCAGCACATTGTTCCCCACAGGCATTTCACCACAGTGATTTGTCTCTCATGTTGAGGCAACAGTCCAGCCCCTGAAATTCATTGGGCTTTTCTTTTCCTGTAGGTGAAAAAGAGTGCTAGATTTTCTGGTGAGCTTCTTAGATTTCAATGGGTATTCATAAATGCAAATGTTTGAATCTGAATGTTTCTCCCTTTTCTTTTCTTTTCTTTTTAAATTTTATTTTATTGGTACATTTTAGGTATACAATATAATGACATTCATCATTGGAAATTTGCACCTTTACATAAT